CCGATCGACTGATGAGCCGATCAGCTGATAAGCCGATGGATTAGTTCCAGCCGATGCCGATGCTGATACCAGCCGATGTCGATAGGTCTTGAACAATCGGCTATATGGTTAATGTAGAATCTGACACTTGATGTAAATAATGATATAAAGACAATCGGCGGATGGTAATATAATAAGACAACAATCTAATCCAGTAGAAACCAATCGGCTAATAATGATATGATAGAATAAGCCCTAATCCGATGGTTAAAGAATACATCGGCTAGAGGTCTGATGTCATAAAATCCAAACGATTAGATAAACAGTGAAACATTTGTCGTAATCGGCTAAATCCAACTTGTATGTACTCTTTATAAGCTGATGCAACGTCCAGATAACTCATCGGCTAAAACCCCGATGAAACCCTTATTGGCAATCAAGAAGCAGGCTAGAGATTATGGTTCTAAGCATGACTTAGTAGATCAAACTTAACTGATGCAACACTAAATATAAAAAGAAACATAATATCTAGATAATCAAGCCTTTGTCTGATTTTCAGGGTGGTAGATACCTTAGCTAATCTAATATGGTAAAGTGATTTAGCCAATACCGGCATAAACCCTAAAGGAGAATCGACCAATATGGCTAAATTGAGATACTAAGACAAGATTAACTAAGATATATGATAGATAGGTAGGCAAATATATCAACTGAACCAGAGCAATCAAGAGGTCGAATGTATTGATGTAGCCTTTAACGACGCCAATGAAGCAATACAATTGCCAGGTCCGGCGGAACGTATGACTTACCCCTTCGCCGGAGATCGAAAGCTAATGCAGCCCCGTGTCAGGTGCCAAATTCCACCGAATGATAAGTAAAAAACCTCGGTAAAAAAGGTGGCGATGTGCCGAGAGTAATTGTATTGATCGTTGAGATAGTTTACAATTGAGATAGTTTACAATGACCCCGGATGTACATATTTATACCCATGGGTAGATACTAGTCCTTGTTGGACAAGAGAGAAACTTTCATAAAGATAAAAGGAAAACATAAAGTCTTTATCGGACACTAAACATACTTTACTAAAGATAAAAGGAAATTAATAGAGTATTCCTAATTAATAGATAAACTGTCATGCCGCATCTTTCTTGAACTCGGTCTCTTCTGGATAAACTTTATTTAATAGATTAATTTCCTTAACCGAATATAGCAAGAATCCTGGCAACTTGATAATTCTCATCGGCCGATTCCAGGACTATGAAGCCGATGCTGACTCTAGGCCGATGATGACTTTGGGTTTACCAAATTTCACGGTTAACACACATTCACCAGAAATCCTATAAACCTATACAGTTCATCCTCACTTAGGTCTAGTTATTTTCTTCAACTTTCTCGTTTTCTATTAGCACATTTTTCAAAGACGTATTTTTAAAAAAAAATCATATATAGAAGTTGTTTAAAAAATTCAAATAAATCCTTTTTCAAGTTCATACTTAGTAATATTAGATTAATCATGTGTTAATAAGTTTTCTCGTTTTGCATGCGCGAAAAATTTCTCTTTTGGAACTAATGCCAATCTATTAACTTATTAAAGGAATAGAAAAAGGACCCTCCACGTTCGCTCTCGCGGCCTAAAAATTCTCATATTAATCGGAGAAAAAGAAAAACAGAGTCTATATAGAAATACAATTTAGAAATAGTTGAAATTCGGAATTAAAAAATAAGGAATATTGGAAGAGGAGACTAGAGTCCATATAGAAATACAATTAAGAAATAATAGAAATTCAGAATTAAAAATAAGGAATATTATAAGTAGAGTATATATAGAGTCCATATAGAAATATAATTAAGAAATAATATAAATTCGGAATTAAAAATAAGGAATATTAGAAGTAGAGTATAGAGTCCATATAGGAATTTAAAACAAACTAAAATTCGGAATAAACATAATAAAATTAAAAGTAGAGTTTAGAATTCGTATAAAAATACAATTTATAAATAACTAAAATTTGAAATTAAAAAAAATATGGGAAGAAGAGTCTAAAGTCAATATAGAAACACAATTTAGAAGTAACTGAAATTCGAAATTAAAAATTAAAGAATATTGAAAGATGAGTTTAGAGTCCACATAGAAATACAATTAGAAATAATAAAATTTCAGAATTAAAAAATAAATAATATTGGAAGAAGAGCCTAGAGTCTATATAAAAATACAATTTACAGATAATGAAAATTTAGAATTAAAAAAGAAATATTGAAAGACGAGTCTAGAATCCATATAAAAATATAATTTACAAATAACTAAAATTTAATATTAAAAATAATTAATAACTAATATATATATATATATATATATATATAATACAATATGAATATTACACATGAGTAGTTTCGTAAAGTTACTATAAAATTTAAAATTATGTTGTCATTTTAATATATTTGAATAATACATTGAGAAAACATATATGCTATTATATGAGAGAAAATATAATGATGCTAGCCGCGCAATCAGCGTGAGCCACCATGCTAGTTCTCTGTATTTCTCGAAAAATTTCTCGAACGCAGCCACACAGTGTAACTAATGCCAATTCTCTGTATTTTCATGCTTCCACGTCACCCTATTTTCTCTCAACCGTTGGATGTCAATCGCAAGACAATGAAGCAGTGCACTGAACAGCTTATTTTTCCCAGTTGTTTTGCTTGTTGGGCACAACACGGCTGAGCCTTCTCGCTCCCATATTCTTTCGCTGCTACAGCCTCCACGACTGTTCCTCTTCCCCTCCCACTGGCGGCTAGCAGCGCGGAGCGCAACACGCGCATCACGACGTGCCACTAATGTTCCACATCGTCATTGTACGTCGATTCCCCTTCCAATTCATTGATTCGCCTATTGTTATGTTTCCTTCCTTTGCCGAAAATCGTTTCGTCTTCCACGATTTCTCCTTCTTAATCTCTTCCTCCACCAAACCCACATTCAGTTCCTGGCTTTTCGCCACCAATGACCGTCGATATGTTCTTTCCGCCTGCTACCATTTCAATTGCAGTGAGAGCAAGGTCAATAGTACCGCTGGCTGCTAGCTCCAAATTATCATTATCTTAGAGCAGGTATAGTAGTAGGCTTTAAACCAGCTGCAAACATATTTTAAGAAAATAAATAAGGAGAGAAAAGGGCAGCGGGCTACAGATTTGTAGTCAGCTGTAGCACGGACTCCAAGACATAGTGTGTGTATGACAGGTGGGACCATGTATTAATAGTGTAGTACGTAACTATTGTATGAATGAGCTATTAGATTGGCTATAGATGAATTGGAGCTGGTAGTTGGCTATACTATTTAACTTGCTCTTATTAAAAGCCAATTTAGAGCTAACTTATACGTTATGTTAGCTATAAGGCTATAAGCTAGCTACAAGTTAAGGCAATGACAAGTATAATATTTTGCATGGGCATATCAACTATTAGGATCAATGCTGCTATTCATCTTTGTAGCCACCAACAGTGTAGCAGTGGGCACTAGCTCATAACAAAAGCCACAGCAAACACAGGTAAAATGGAAGGAGTAGAGGATTGAGAGGGTTCTCTATGGGACCCACATAACACACTTTTTATGACCCCTGCTAGCTGCATGCATGTGGGGGGCCGTGCAAGCGCCTAGAACAAGCGCCCGCTTGCATCTCTCTCTTTGATTATCTTTTCTTAATTTAGGATTAGAAATTTTGAAGCCTGCTTAACCATTCTATTGTACCTGCTCTGATACAAGATCTATGAATTCAGAGCTTCAATATAGCTGCCTGTCGTCGATGTTGTCATCTCCGCCTGATGTTGGTTGGCTGAGAGCCTGAGACTGACACCCCCACATTCTTTTCCCATCAGATTGGTTCATTGGCTCTTACTCCCTCAGTCCTAAATTATATTTGAAATAAATATTGTTTCAAAGAAAATAATCAAACATGTGAAAAAGAAAGAAATTTGCTTCAAACAATGTTAATAGGGTAGGTGGTTTGTGTGCACCAAAACCTTTAAAGTTCTTTAAATGGCTTGTTTAGATCCCTAGCAAAATTTTACACCCTGTCACATCAAATGTTTAGGCACATGTATAGAGTATTAAATATAAACGAAAAAATAACTAATTACACATATTGCGTGTAAATTACGAGACAAATCTTTTAAGCATATAATTGCGCCGTGATTTGACAATGTGATGCTACAGTAAACATTTGCTAACGATGGATTAATTAGACTTAATAAATTTGTCTCGCGGTTTACAGGCAGATTCTGTAATTTATTTTATTATTAGACTACGTTTAATACTTCAAATATGTATCCGTATATCCGATGTGACACGCCAAAACTTTACACCCATGGATCTAAACACACAAAACTATGGATAAAAATATGACCCCCTGAATCATTTTAAAATGACATCGTCCAACCTTTAGTTCGCTATCTATGAGATAATTTCTAAACAAACTATAGTCTTACCTTTGAACAATATCAATGCCCGTGCGGCCACCTAAAGTCTAGGTGAAATTAGATTATAATATTATGGATTAAGAAAAATAAATAAAGAGTTACATGAGAATTACAACTTGATTTTTATATTTGAACAAAAGGTACATGTGTGTTCTATTTTGAACTCTAAAATTTATAAGGTTTGGTTTTTCTAAAGGTGAGTATAAATAGAAGCCATGGCAAGCTGAGCAAGCAAGTAAAATGGGGGCAAATGAGCGAGGGGTAGTTGCTGGTGGTTGCTAATGAGAAGATTCGACTTCTTTTATAAAAAAAAAAAGAATCCTAAAACAATTAGATGACTATTTAGTATATTTTTTAAAAAAGTCATGTGTAAAAACCAGATAATTTTATAAAAGTGCTAGCCGAGCAATTACTCGCAGGCTACCCTGCTAGTAGTTTTCTTTAAATAACAAACTTACGGATAATGTGCCTAACAGTGTAAGACGGAGATAAACATATAATCTTCCCAAGAAAAACACGGCCATAACAGGACCAAATTGTCCAATCCACCTTAGGAAAAGAAAAAAAAGAGAAGCGATTCTTACCAAAGATTACATCTCTGTGCAGAAGGTACATTTGATTCAGAACTAGGTATATATCCTTTACAGGAAACACAGACATAACGAAATGCCCAAATAAAAGTACACCATGGGCAATTGCATCATCTGAAGCCTTCCCAAAGGAGGCAAAAATGATACCCAGTTCCATCCTACTAAATTGTAGGTTTAACATACTGGGACATTGTTGCAGCAACCACTCAGGACACTAGTTCCTCGGGTTGTGCTGTTTCCGTGGCACCAATATGGCAATGTCCATGGTTGTGCGTCGAGCAAGAAAAAGCATTATACATCAAACAAATATGAACAGATGGTGATTCGACTAGGGTGATCAGTACGAATTGCTCTTCCGATGTACAAGAATCAGCAGAAAGTTACCGGTGAGCATTCATCACCTTGGCCCTGATAACTCGACCGCATGGAGGTTCTCAGTTGAGTCAACAGTCCAACCATTCTGATACAGGCCAAGCTCCACGTCCTGCTGTACTATTTCTATCTTCTGCCACTCCTTCCATCTTTCAGCAAGGCCATCACCTTCATCAAGCATCCTCACCACCGCAGCCATCTTGGGGCGTTCCAGAGGGGAGCCTTGTGTGCAAAGAAGCGCGACCTGGATTAGTGATTCTACCTCAGCATCAATGTACTTGTTCTGTAGATCTGGATCAATCAATTTCTCCAGCTTTTCCTCCTTGATTAATCGTTTGACCTGCACAGAGCACATAACCATAAAAATACTATTTTTTAAGACCTTTATTGAAAGTCTGAAACTACATTTTATTAGATGATATTTTTGGACATACAGAAAAGTTACTTTATCTAACTCTGACACAGCAGCAAGCCACAAAAGGGCATGAACATCTCGACTGCAATTTGGATTGAGGAATGTACCAGTTACTTACCCAGTCCAGTGGCATGACACCCTCACCTCTGGCTAGAAGAGCAAGATCAAAGGCACGTTTTCCTGTAATAAGCTCCAAAAGCATGATTCCATAGCCAAATACATCAGTTTTCTCAGAGAGAATTCCTGTTGAAAGATATTCTGGTGCAATATGTCCAATTGTTCCATGTACTGCAGTTGTTACATGGGTATCCTTGTAATCCATTGGTTTGGCCAAACCAAAATCTCCAAATACAGCTTCAAAGTCTTCATCTAATAAAATATTTGCCGCTTTGACATCACGATGGATGATCTTTGGGTTGCAATGATCATGTAAATAGGACAGCCCCCTGGCAGAACCTGCTGCGATCCTTCTTCTTGTTTGCCAATCAAGTGGAGGTTCAGATGGTGGTCGTTCTACAAAATAAGACCCAAATCAAACCTCTAATTGTCTGAAAGATATAGGGATGCATGACTGGAAAAAAGGAAGGCGAGGTACCTCTCAGACGTGAAGCAACACTTCCATTAGCCATGTATGGATACACAAGCAACCTTTCTGTGGGTGTCATACAGAACCCACGTAAACGCAACAGATTTCTATGTAAAGCCATGCTAATCATCTCAACTTCTGTTTGAAACTGTAGTTCCCCACCAGGTGTTCTCTGCTCCTTTAGTCTCTTAACAGCTACTAAAGAACCATCTGCTAGTCTTCCTTTATAGACCTTGCTAAAACCGCCTGTGCCAAGAATGTTTTTATTGTTGAAGGTCTTTGTTGCAACTTGAAGTTCTCGTAGCGAAAATCTTTTAAGCTGGCCAAGATGGACCCCTGTATACTTAGTTGTAACAAATAAGGAAATGTAAGTTGAATCAAAGTTGTTCTCCAAGTCCCCTGTTCTATTGGATGCTTACCAGGTACAACAGGAAAATACTCTTGGGGTTTCCTGCGTCGCCACCAGGCAAAACCAATAGCAGGAATATTAAATAGCAAGGCTGCTCCAGCAGCCACTCCACCAGAAATTGCTCCAGTACGAGATGACCTCCCTGCCAAAAAAAAAAAAAAAAAGAGGGGTTATTCTTGTCAGAACCACAACAATATGTATCATACCAGCATATGTACCACATCTCACTGGGGGAAAAAGAGGCTGTTGCATAGCAGTGAATCTGAATGAATCACCTGGGTTATATGGAGGCGGTGGGTGAAGGGGCGGAGCACTGGGGGTGCCAAGACCACACAAGGAAGTGTTGTTGGCAAAACTGAAAGACAGACAGTGTAAAATAGCAACAGTGTGTAATAAAAAAAACAGTGAACTGCCACTACTATTAAATATAGTTTTACCTGTTAGGTGCAGATAATGAAAACGAACTAGTTAATGGAACCTCCTGTCGAACTACTTCTATCTTCCACCACACCTCCCACCTTTGTGCAAGGCCATCACCACCTTCTAGCATCCTCACCACCTCCACCATCTTGGGGCGTTTTACAGGGGAGACTTGTGTGCAAATAAGCGCAACCTTGATTAGTGATTTTACCTCAACATGAATGTAATTGTTCCGTAGATCTGGATCAACCAACATTTTCAGCTTTTTCTCCTTGAGTAACCGTTTGACCTGCACAAAGCATATAACCTTAAAAGACCTTACTGAACTATCTATTAACTGATGAATTTTTGCATATACAGAAAAGTTAGTTCATCTAACTCCAACACCACATCAAACCACAAAAGGGATGGAATCTGCACTGCAATTCGAATTGAGGATTGTGCTAGTCAAGTACCCAGTCCAGTAGAAATATATCCTCATCTCTGGCACGGCCATCGTGATATAAGGCACGCTTTCCTGTAATAAGCTCCAAAAGCATGATCCCATAGCCATATACATCAGTTTTCTCAGAGAGAATTCCTGCTGAAAGATATTCTGGTGCGATATGCCCAACTACTCCACGTACTGCCGTTCTATCATCAGTATCCATGTCATCCTCTAGTTTGGCCAAACAAAAATTCCCCACTAATGCTTCAAAATCTTCATTTAAGAAAATATTTACAGCTCTGATGTCACGATGGATAATCTTTGGATCACAATGATCATGTAAATAGGATAACCCCCTGGCAGAACCCAATGCGATCCGTAGTCTCGTTTGCCAATCAAGCGGAGCTTGAGATGGTGGCCGTTCTGTAGAATAGCACCCACTTAGTAAATGTTCTATATCTTCATACTACAGTTGTTAAAAGTAACAGGCTAACAGCCATCTAAATGATGCAAAGGAAAATCTGTAAGTCTAGGAAAAACAAGGCAAGGTACCTCTTAAACATGATGCAACACTTCCATTAGACATGTATGGATACACAAGGAACCTTTTTGTTGGCGTTATGCAGAATCCATGAAGACGCACCAGGTTTCTATGCACAGGCATCTCAACTTGTGTTTGAAACTGTCGTGTTCTCCGACTCCAATCCGCTGTTGGACAATCCATGTGAACAACTACTAAGGAACCATCTTGTAGTCTTCCTTTGTACAGTTTGCTGTCGAATAGATCAACAAGAACGTTGTTATTACTGAAGAAATCTGTTGCATCTTGTAGTTCCTGTAGTGAAAATATTTTATGTTCATGAGGATAGGCCTCATCTGGACCCTGGCCCTCAAATTCTTGACTTGTCTCACCCTGTTCCACATAACACAAAAAAGGAAATGAATGTGATGATGATTATTATTAAGAAAACAGATAGCGTAAAATTGCATTCAGTAATCCCCTTCTTGGTCAGTTTCTGGAGCTACTAATTGCTGAAATCTCTCATTTTTGACTTATTAAAAGCATCACACATGTTTTGCAAATGTTGGAAGAAGGATACAGCCACAGCTCAAACAAGAGAGCAACAAGTGAGGAGTCAATTAATTATACAATTAAACGATTAGATATTAGAAGTTTTGCAGCATCCAAGAAACAAATAATAATAGGAGTTGAAACTAAGAGGATGAATTAATAATCAATGTATCCAGGTCTGATCGAGAACTTACCAATAAACAATTTCCACAATCATACTCTAATTGGAATCTGCTAGTCGGACAATTGGGAAGCGTCTCGATGGTAGCTTTGATGAGGCTTACAACAGACCTGGTGATGCTATCGTCCATATCTTGTGCCGGATCATAGATACCGTCAGAGTAAATGTTGCCCCATATACCAATCTCAACTTTGGTAAGGGTGGAGAGATTCTGGATGCCAAAATCAGAAGCACCATTCAGGCAATCCATTCCATGTAAACGGAATTCAAGCTGGAGGTGCTCAAGCTTTGGCATTGACCCTGCTTCAAACTCCAGCATGGTCCCACATCTCTTGATTCGTAACGAGAAATATCTCAGACTTCTGAATCCTTGGTTGCCACAGATGATGATCCTTCCATTGGTGCCACAGAGAGTTCTGACTTCGAGAAAATGCAAGCTGGGTATTGCTCCAAGGATCTTAACATCATTTGGTCCCATTCTACGGATCCAGAGTTGTAATTCAGTGAGGCTTCCAAGATAGCTCATCCAGTTTGGGACCTTACGGTTGTAACAGCCTTTGATATGAAGCTTCCGGATGATGCAAGGAGTAGGAGGGTACCACGATTCCAGGGTCAGTGGGCCGCCAGTCAAATATAGATGATGAAGGTTGCTAGACAGTAAGGCTGAGACATAATTTTGACATTCCTCGGCATCTGACCACCAAAAAAGATGAACTTTCAATGTCCTAAGCTTTGTTAGCTGACTGAATCCTTCCAGAGACTTGCCTAGCTCACAGTAGATGCCAAATTCCTCTAGTTCTTCCAAGCTCTGCATCTTACCAATTAAACCATCAGGAAATCTAGTCCATCTTTCAACATATAGATGGGCCAGGCACTCAAGTTTTGCAATACTTAGCGGAAGCTCTTGAATTTTGGTATCACATATGTCCAGTGTTTGTAGATAATGCAGTTGTTCAATTTTTGTTGGGAGCTTAGTTATTGATGTTGATCGAAGAGACAAATACTTGAGATGATGCAGCTTGTCAATACTTTCAAGATGGTTTTCTGTCAACCCTGATTTTGATAGGTCCAACACACGCAGAGTTGGGAAAACAAACAAGGAAGTTCCATTGACATGCTGGAATATAGTAAGTGACCGGACATGGGAGAGATTCAGGCTTGCCGATTTGTTAACCTTTTCTTCATTGTGATTCTTGGCACAGAGCCTACGTACTCTGAATTTTGAAATATGGCCATGCTCTGCAAAATCCAATGTGGTGACAAAATTTTCTTTAGTAGCCTTGCATGTGATGAAATCAAGAATGATGTCATGAACTCGACATGCCTTCGCCTGGCCATATTTTAAATCAACTGGCTGGATCAAACTTCTATTGATAAGATCATTAAAATAGTTCTGGCCAACTTCATAGGTGCTCCATCCTTGTTTCTCATGAACGAATCCTTCAGCAATCCATCTATTTATCAAACGTTGCTTGTTAACCTTGTAATCTTCTGGAAATATACACAAGTATAAGAAACATGTTCTCAGATGGTGGGGAAGTTCAAAGTAACTAAGAGATAATATCTTTGTCATGTTCCCAGCATCTGGATTGTTAGCAAGTGCACAACCAATATCATTTAGCATCCTGTCCCATTCATCTTTTGCATGCTTGCCCGCTAACAAGCTAGATACTGTAATAATTGCCAATGGTAATCCACCACACTTAGCCAATATCTCATCACAAACTTTTTCCAGATGGGGATTGTATAATTCCCTGGAACGAAATGCTTTTTGGCAAAACAACATTTTGGAGTCAGCAAAATTAAGGGGTTCCATTTGATAAACACAACCACCATCACTTGAGCAATGTGATGCAACTGCGGCATTACGTGTTGTCATGACAATTCTGCTACCACATCTATTATTGAACAACGCTAGGCTGACAACTTTCCATGCTTCCACATCCCATACATCATCAATTACAACAAAGTACCTGTTTCATGATTTTAACAGGGTTATTAAATTATATATCATTTAAGTATGCTTTACTATCCTACTGCAATCAGGACTGTATACCAGCATGCATGCTTACTCTAGCACTCAGGTCCCCTATGTTGTAAGTATGAATGGAGAACCTAGTTAGCAACATGGGTATGTCTTTTCAAAAGATATGTATGATCAGCTTCTGCACAAACAAATTTGCAAGTGAACATGTGACAACATATCTGTAATGCATGAGGTTTTTGTGGACTTTCAGTTTTTCGGAATGAAAAACTTTCACACGTGTTAGTTTCTTTCCGGTAGGGATTGGGAAAAATTCCTGCACTTTCAAATGAGGTTTTAACGTTCACATGTGTCGTCATTCGCCATCAAGCAGTCCACATTAGCACTCCGAGGAAACAAATATTATTCATAGATTAGGACATAATTGAAAAAAAAAGTCAAGCAGCACAAATTTGCAAATATGCTGTCATTTTCCATCAAGAAGTTAGTTTTTCATGAACACCATTACAGTATTATCTAAAAATGGTTTAGAAAGTTTTTCTAATTTACTCCTGAAAGTTATAGCCGTCAAGCCTGGTTAACCTCTTGTTTTTAGCAGATGCATATGCACTTCATAAACAAAGAAAATGCACATGATTAAGCCACTAACTATTGTTCATTGTATGCTTGTTGTTCTCCATGTATGTCTTAATAAGGGTTTCCATGCTTAACCAAATGTAGAAAAATCAATAGTTGTGTGTGGGTGGATTACTGGTTTTACCTTTTATCTTTGAGGCGGTCCCTTATTCTGTCTATGAGTTGCCGCTCATCTTCAGATGTGTAATCAGTGATCCCTACTTCAGTAAGCATTTGTCTTAAAATACTCTTTGTGTTAGGACTTCGTTACACAGACACAAAACCTGTGCATTCAAACTGGCATTTGAATTGATGGAAGACTTGGTTGGCGAGAGTAGTCTTACCCAGACCACCAGAACCCACAATGGACAACACCTTGACTTTTACATCTCTTATCCCCTTGGCAAACCACTCCATGATATGCTCCTTTGGTCCATTGATTCCCACAAGCTCATCAACCTCAACGTAGAGTGCTGGAAGCCTAGGGTCAATATCAGAAGTGGTACAGCTGGCTACCAGACCAATAAAATTATACCTCTTGTGCCTCTTGCTTGCCTCTATCACACGTGTCTTGAGTTCTTCGATCTCATTAGAGATTTCATGGCAAGCCTTCATCTTCTTCAGTTTGTATGAGAATCCCTTAAAGAATGTAGATTGTTCATCTTGCTTGTGATCAACAAGGACCAAGAAGGAATCAATGAAATCTTCGATATCATAGGCCAGCTCACGCACGGTGTCCCTCCAATCCTTGTGCAGGGGATCAAGTTCCTCTACAGATTCAAGCATCTCCAAGGCAGCCTTCATGCTGCTCAACTCATCTCTAAAGAAGGCAATTTGACTGTGTACACCTTTGAGCTTGGTGTACTTGTCCTCCAACATCTTGGAGAGCTTGGACAGGACGGTGTTCATCACTCTTGTAGAAACACGCACAAGCATCATCGCCATTACTATCTTATGTCAGAGCTCTCTGTTAGATGATCGAATTGTAGGATTCGTGGGATGGAGAGGTGTCCATGAGGTAGTTTGATGGTACTAGTCATGAAACTAGGAAGCTTCTTGTAGTTGTGGAGGATTTGAAGAAATGTTCTGTGTTCATATGGTGCCTAGGCCTGCATTTGGAAGAAAGATGATGCACTGAGTCCACTCGGTCAAGTCAAGTCAACTAGTGTTTTCTGGCCGCACAATTGTTGTCCCAAACTCATCATTGTTATAGTTACTTTCAGTTATAATATTCTCCATCTTTATTGGCTTTCTGTTAGGAACTTTCCTTGTTTTTCTCATCACAAGGCGTTCTTTCAGTTGTCTTTCTCTGAATGTACACAACAACTACCAAGTTGTCTTGTTGCTTTCGGCCTTGATTCTAAAGTTGTTTTAACAATTTTCAGTTAACAGTGAACCATCATATAACTCTTTAGGCCTTGACTCTAAAGTTTGTTTTAGGAAACACTACCAGAGATTTGATATTCATTCAGTGACATGAATCATCATGACAAAATACTTGGGAGAGGTTCTATGGCTGCAGAGCAATTGCAGATTCAATAAGGAATACCAATTTCCATCTTCTTGTATGAATCATGCTAGCTTAATTTTCTCATTGATTTGCGGGTACTCTTCTAAACTAGGACAGTGCTTGGGTTATTCTTTCACTGCTTGGTCCTTCAAATATTGGAACTCGGAACTAGTGGGAAGGAATGTTTGGTCCATTGTAAATTGTTTTCTTCAAATGGTTTGCTTCATCTTTCATCCAAAGTACTGTTGTTCAGCTGGTTGAGTTGTCAGCTTGATTCAGTTTACAGTGGTTCCAATGCCTTTCCATTGTTCCTGTCTAGCCATCTATATTTGGGTATTATTTGACAGGCCTGTTTTTTTGCTTGGTTTGACAGTCTACTTGTATGTTTTCATTTATTGTTCTGTTGGTCAATGTATGTACACACAATGGTTTTGCACTGACATAATATTTTCTTACCATACATGGCAGAGGCAATTCTAGATAATTTGTTTTGATGAAGTTTATCTGTGCCTACTAATTCCTTTGCTTGACTTGGCTTTTCCCGAATTTTTTGCATGGGCATTGAGGCTTCTAAAGGCTGGCAAGTGACACATGGTCTTGGGAACTTTCCTTGCTTTTTCTCATCACAAAAAGGTATTCTTTCAGTGTTCTTTCGGTTGTCTTTCTCTGAACGTACATAATATCTACCAAGTTGACTAGTTGCTTTCAGCCTTGACTCCAAAGTTGTTTTAACAATTTTCCATTAACAGTAAACCATCGTGTAGATGTTTTACCTTCACTCTAAAGTTTGTTTTAGCAAACACTACAAGAGATTTGGTATTCATTCAATGACATCGATCCTCGTGACAAATACTTGGAAGGGGTTCTAAGGCTGCAGAGCAATTGCAGATTCAATAAGGAACACCCATTTCAATCTTCTTTTATGGATCATGCTAGCTTCATTTTCACATTGATTTGCAGGTACTCCTCTAAACTAGGCAAAGTATGATGTACACCTCACTAGACTATCGCCTCAGTCTGAATTCCCAGGTCAACTCAAATACCAGGCAAAAACATCACCCTCAATAGTCTTACAACAAAAAATCACCCTCAACTATTTAATCCCCATGAGAAAGGGATTGGAGAGGATTGAGAGGGATTGATTCCACACCTCGTCCAAGGCTCTAAAACCCCCTCAATCCCCTTGGGAGAGGAATTAGCGGACGAACAACGCCTAAACCGGATGGAATGCCCCCCAGCTCATTTCAAAGTGAATTTTATCATGTGGCAGTATAGTCAGCAATATATAATTATATACTAAAAAAAATTGATAGAACCCACATTTGGGACGAAATTCTCCAGCATGGCCGTCGTCTCCCCCGGTTCTTCCCTGCCCTCTTCCTGCACAAGGAATCAAGGAAGCCAAAACTAAATGTCACTGTACGCTAGAAGGTCAGCTGATCTGCAGCAATTTGGAGTAATTTGCAAGAAATCGCTGCCTGCGACTGCGAGGCAAAAGAAGGAAGGATCGCCTCATGAGTCATGCCTGGATGTCCACATGCTCGTCAGCGCACAGCCATTTTTCCCCCCGACGATTAGTACGAGGCCGATGCCGAGCGCAGCAGCTTGCCTGATCCCCTTGGACCCGCACCCGCCGGCGGGCGACACAGCACGCCGCCGGTGACACGTAGCTGGATCTGGCGGGGGCAGGGCGCACATCCTCCACGCCTCGAACTCCGCCGCGCATGCACTCGCGAGCTGCCGCAGGACGACGCCACAACGAGGGAGGATAGGGGGAGGCCGCGCGGGAGGAAGAGGACGGGGAAGAGAAGCTGCATTGCCGCCGCCACCCCCAGCGGGCATGGGAGTCACCGGACTTGCGTCGCCGCCGTCGTTTGCGAGCTCGCCGGGCGCTGCCATCACCGGGAAAGGATGCCGCCGGCTTTGAGGTGGAGGGGAAGGGTCGACGCCTACGAGGGAGGAGGCGAGCTGAGGAGGTGGTCTGACAGGTGGGCCCCATGGCTAAAAGCAGGAAAAACAACCATCCGCTTCAGGTGGTGGAGTTAACTCTTATTAGGCCCCGTTTGGTAGGGCTCCAAACTCCAACTCCCAGCTCCAAACTCCTACTCCAGTTGGAGCTAGCTCCTATTGGAGTTACAGACCCATCAAAAGTGTTTGGCAAACTTTTAGCTCCAGATCTGAAAAAAAAAAAGAAAAAAAAAGGAATCCCCGCCGCCAAGCGGCACGCCGCCGTCAGCCGGCCAGCCCCCGCGTCGCCGCCAAGCCCACGCGCCGCCGGCCAGCCCCCGCGCCGCCGCCAGGTCGCGCGCTGCCGGCTAGCCCCTGCGCCGCCGCCCGCCGACCAGCCCCCGCGTCGCCGCCGAGCCCGCGCACCGTCGGCCAGCCCCCGCGCTGTCGACCTCGCACGCCTCCGCCGAGCCCGCGCGCCGCCGCTAGCCCGCACGCCGCCGCCGAGCCCGTGCTCCGCCGCCGCCAGCCTGCCCGCCGCCGGTTGCCGCCGAATCTTGCCGGAGAAGATGGGAGAGGAGAGAGAGGATGGGAGGAGGAGGAGGAGTTTAGGGGTAGTTCAATGGCATTTCTGTGTAAATACATCAAAATTTTAAAGGGTAGTGGGTCTTTTGGGGTGGAGTGGAGCTGTGGAGCAGCAAAAACCCAGCTCCACCCCCGTAGTACAAATTTGTGGAGCTGCTCTGCCAACTCCGCTCCAAAAAACAAAGAATTTGTACCGTTTGGCACAGCTCCAGCTCTAGGTAAGTTGGAGTTGGGAGCTGGAGCTGTGCCAAACGGGGCCTAAGTCTCTGTATTTAGGGGCACAGCTAATCAGCGCGTACGCGTTCCTAGCGCAGACGCCGCCAAGGCCCACGCACGGGCTAGCATAGTAACGACGCCGCAAGGCCCACGCACACGCAGACGCACTAAGCCCCGGTAGTTTTTTCTTTTTTTCGCCTTTTTTCGGTTTTCGCTTTTTTTTTCTTGAATCGCTCCCTTATTTTCTTCGCGTGGTCGCGCGGTTTTTTTTCGTGCTATATTTTATAAATTGAATCTTTCACCTTCAATTTCAGTTGAAAGTTTTAAATTTGAGTTGAAAGTTTTTAAAATTTAAGTTGAATGCTTTGAATTTTGAGATGAAAGTTTTCAAATCTTGATTTGATTTTTTTAAAAAAATTGAGTTGAAAGTTTCAAATTTTCAATTGAAAATTTTCAAATCCGAGTTGAAAGTTTTCAAATCTTGACTTAAAAGTTTTCAAGTTCGAGTTAAAATTTTTCAAATCTTGACTTGAAAGTTTTCAAGTCCGAGTTAAAAGTTTTCAAATCTTGATTTGAAAGTTTTCAAATCTAGGCTGAAAAATTTTAAAAATTTTTGAGTTGAAAGTTTTTAAGTCCGAGTTGAAAGTTTTCAAATCTTGACTTGAAAGTTTTCAAGTCCGAGTTAAAAGTTTTCAAATCTAAGTTGAAAAATTTTAAAAATTCTTGAGTTGAAAGTTTTAAATCTTTACGTGTGCGGTAGTCAAATGTGAAAAAAAAACGTGACAGGGCCGTGTAGTCCACGGCAAAAAAAAAAAAAAGAAACGTCATAGCGCCAAAAAATGGAAAAAAAAAGAAACATCGCGCTGCGCGTACCTCCGCGTGACATCACGTGGCCCTCGTGGGCCTGCCCTGCAGCAGCGCGCGACTTCGCTACCTCGCGCGTATGCGCCAACTAGTGTTTCGGTGTATTTAGACACTAATTTAATAAACTACTTACAAAATTAATTATATAAATGAAAGCTAATTTGCGAGACAAATTTTTTTAAGCCTAATTAATCCATAATTAGAGAATGTTTACTGTAGCATCACATAGGCTAATCATGAATTAATTAGGCTCAATAAATTCGTCTCGCGAATTAGTCCAAGATTATTAATAGTTTGCGTTTGATATTTATAATTAGTGTCCAAACATCTGATGTGATAGGGACTTAAAAGTTTTAGTCCCATCTAAACAGGGTCTCTTTTGTCTCCTGTTTCACCTTGCTCATTTGTATTGTAATAGGATTAATTGAATTGGTAACATTATCAATTTGAAAAAAAAAATGTCAATACTATCCATGGAACCTCCTCCCTCCATTCCAAAATATAGCAACTTTTGCTTTGTCTAGATTCGTAGTACTAGAATACGTCCCATCTAAGCAAAAGTTGCTATATTTTGGGACGGAGCGAGTATCATGTGTTACTGGGCCATCGTTATCATGTGTTTATAGACGTGTTCGGCTAAACTTGTCGTCGCAGCCGCTATAGTCGTGACAATTGTCAATGGCTGTCAACTACAGTTGTTTTGAATTGTCGCAGATGTAGCAATTTCGACAGCTACCATAACCGGCGATAAGCCCCCGTATTATCCCCCGTATGTTAGTATCCTTTTTCATTGCCAATAGGCCTACTCGTCAACGGTCTTCAACCTCCAGCCGCAACCTTTGAGCCTCACCGTAACTCTTAGGCCTCCATAGTGCCGCGTCATACCTAAGGGCACCCTCAATGGTTATCTATATGCTATCTACAAGAGATCCATGTCAGCATATTTTTCTACTTGGAAGAGATTAAATGAAGAGAGAGAGCAAAGTTATCTACTAACCTAGAGATAGTCTATAGAGAAAAACGAGGCAATGAATTAGAGAGCTATAGATACCCATTGAGACATACCATTGAAGTGATTTACTATTAATCTAGTCTATTGCTGAGATGTACATGTTTTATAGATAGCACATTACTTTACCATTGCGGGTGCTCTAAGCGTGCATTTGAGGGGGAAGCACAGTGTCATTTACTCCCTCCATTTCATACAGTAAAGTTGTTTGACTTTCCTAGTTTATATAAAAATTTAACAACTAAAATATAAAAATAGTTTTATTAGATCTAACATTAAATATAATTTGATATTATGTTTGTTTTGTGTTGAAAATAATAGTATATTTTCTATACATTTGATCAAACTTAAAAAAGTTTGACTAGAAAAAAAAATCAAATGATCCTAGCATCGGATAGGCGTGAATTTACATATCGTGTCATAAATCATAATAATGAAAACAATTTTGACTTTCAATCAGTTAGTACTAGCATCGGATCACCCCCTTCATCCATATTAAATAATGCAAGCTCGTCTCCAAAGTTCTGATAATTTTTCTCTAGGTATGCACCAACATAGTGCTATTAAATGCACTTCCTCCGTTTCATATTCATATTATAGGACTTTCTAGCATTGCCCACATTCATGTAGATGTTAATGAATCTACATTTATATTATAAGACTTTCTAGCATTGCCCACAGTTCATATAGATGTTAATGAATCTATTAACGTCCAAAAATCTCCCTAGGGAATTTGAAGCAGGAGCATGGAAGACTACACAAAACGTCCAAAAATCACAACAAGATGATTTGAGAAAAGGAAAACTTAGAAAAAAAAAATCATGCCTATCTCCCAAGGCCCTTTCCCAGGGAATTAACATGTAGTAAGTTACAGAAGCACCAGGCGTAACATTGACACCTGAATGTGGTACATACATACTTTACCACCATTTGTGGGCATATGCTATTCTTTTTCTTTTTTACAAGTCATGATATTCATAGTTCAGCTCGTGGCTCGTAAGTTGTAACAACTTTGGATGATGTAGTTGCCAAGAATTCTGATACTCGTATTCCATTCAGTATAATTGTTATGTCAGCTTGTGCACGTCTTGATTGAGCTGCATGATGTGTTCGGAGTGCATCTCTACCAAGAGATCGATTAACTGTTCTTCGACGTCGTCCTCCTTGCTGGGCCTTCGCACGGTTGTCCTCCCATTGCTTGTGACCATCACAACTACATCTTTGTAGTTCGCTAGCTCGTTGGCGACCACGACATTCATACCATACTTTCTCAGAGCTGCCTCTGCCTTCTGCAGAAGGATATCTGGGTCCGTCTCAAGCTGTAATGTGCAGGTATTAGGCGCCAGCAGTAAGGTGGGTCTAGTCATCTCGACTCTAGAAAATAAGATATTTCGAGAGTAACACGAGCAGAATGAAGGTACACTGAGGTTTTCTTTAATGCAGAAAAAAGCTTGAGCAACCATAGCTCCATATGGAAGTGTGAAAATACATCAAACTAACCTTGAAGGATACACAAAATGCTGAAGGAGCCCATTGTTTTCTCAGAATGAAAAGCATCTTCGGAACTTGATTGAGTTGCATGTTCAAAGGACCACTTGCTGACTCGATTTTATGTTTAGCCTGCCAAAACATGTGCGAGGTACATAATGACCATGTTGCCTGCAACTACTAGTGCATTGGGTGCAATATGCCAATATATATGAAACATCTGATAACAAGGAGTCCATTACTATGCTACGTAACTACCATTTTTATAACTAGTTACGAAAAGAATCATATGTTTCAATACCAATACATGGTTCCTAAGTTTCAAGATTTTGAAATGGTATAACTCTAACATGGTGTAAGTAAGAGGGGGCTGTGATCTCTTAAATAAGGATCCCCTGATTTAGGGAAAAGCCAGGCACCTATAATGTCCAATGACAAACGCCATCTAGAAGCCTACGAGCATCATTAACTGATATATACACCAAATGCAGTGAACATATAGGCTATTTGTTTGTTTTAATACAATGAAATGATCAGAAGAGTAGAGCCTACCATGCTTTCCCATGGAACATAAAAGTCAGAAACTGCCGCAGCAAGGTAAAACATTCCTTGGCGTCCCAAGCAATTCATCGCCGTACCTACCATTTGCAGTAACTATTGGAAAAACAAGCAGAAGAGATATATCAGATTCCTCATCAGTATAACAGTATGCCAAGGTTAATCTTTTACTGTAGAACATAACAGAAAATTGGCAAGTTCCTAAAGCATTCGATATCTAAGACAGTCTAAATTATGACTGGATTTTCAAAATCCAAGCATCTCCCCACCTTAATGTATTGGAGACAGATCGTGATTGAATTCTTTTGCAATGCTAAGTCATATAATAATATATTCAATGAAACAAGGTATAAAATGTTTGAAACACCAGCAGTAGTGGACGTGTGAGCACAAATGCAATTGGACTGGACACCTGGCCATTGGCCCATTTTACTCAATTGATGAGTCACTTTCTGGTCAAATATGTATATATGCATTCGAATTATAATTCAAGCAAATGAATTAGCATGGGCCATTGGGCCAAGTCCATCCAGATCCACTTGCATCGCTATGTGTGAGACTGACTGAAAAAAAAAACACTGGATATGAGAGGAAGGGCTCTCAGATCGAAATTTATTAGGATAGGGGTGAGGCTCGAACCCAGGTGGTGCTAGCCGGAAGACCCCTAAGCCTTTCTCGTGAGACTGACTAAGTCCTCTGTCTTTATGATAGCGTGTATATGAGAACATGTTTCTGTAGGAATAATGAGCAAAACCTGAAGGTACTCAAAGATAGTGGTGAAAGGAAGTTTCAGCAATAGGCCTTCATCAATCGCCTGCAATCAAGGAACCAAGCCAATGGTCACACAACTGTACCAGTCTGACCAGTTGTAAGTTGTAACCAGCGCATGAGACTAGTTTCATGGAGTTAAAACAGAACTGTTTATACCTTCCGATAATTTCTTATTGCTGTCTTGACAACCGCGGCATGAGATTCTGGGACTGAGGTAAGTAACTTACATGAGAGTTTATCATTTAGTCTTTTCAGTTCATATCAATAAATGTTTATAATTAAGGTCAAACATCTAAAAAGTGAAAAAAAAGAAGCAAAAACAACAGATAATTCAGTTGGCATGAATATAAATAATTTAGGATCAATCCCCAACCTTGGATATCTGATTCTTCACCAAGCTCGAATAAATCAAGAAAGGAATCCTCTGGAAGAAACCTACAGTAAGGTTGCTTGCTCCCACTGCAAAGAGGCGCTGATGTCACTCACAACTCTTCCACTAAATGAGGCATTGAGAACTAAAACAAATCAAAAAAGAAAGAAAAGTAAACAAAACAGCTTGCACTGTCTATCTACACTGGTTTTTGTCTCTTCTTTATTCCCTGAAAACGTCCCAAGCACTGTCTATCTACACAATGATCGTAAACGAGCATGCAGTAACAACTTCAGCTCCTCTGAACTTACAATTGAATTGTTGAACTTTTTTTTTTTCTTTTTGAACTTACCGGCGGTAGATGAAGATGACCGCGTAGCCAGCTTTGAGAAAGTACCTGAATTTTACCAGCAAGCTGAAAATTAGCACCAAACAGTTGTACAAAGCAGAGAGAACAGCAACGAGAGGGCATCATGATGACGTAAGCATACTCGGTGGACGCGGCCCCTCGCTGGCCGGAGCTGAAGTTGTCGATGTAGCGCACGCACCGCTGCTCCAGGGGCACCGTCGTGCCGCCGGAGGTGACGCAGACCACCCCGGCGAGCCTCCCCCCTCCTCCGCTCCCTACCCACCACCAAACACGATCGAGATCAGCAAACTCACCCACCACGCGACGCATCGAAGGAGATGAGATCGGAGGAGAGGGAAGGAGGAGGCGAGGGGAGGAGGGACTTGCCGGAGTGGCGGGCGACGAAGTCGGCGAGGTCCCCGGCGACGCGGTCCTGGTCGCGGAGCGGCGGCGCGGCGCGGAAGAAGGACTCCGCCTCGCCGCCGCCGGTGGTGGGATCCGCGGCCATGGCTGCTGGTGAGAGAGCGACGGGACTGCAGGTAGACGAAGATTCTGTGGAGCAAATACGAAATGAACTAAAAATGAGAACCTCTGAATTTAAAAGAAGTGAAGAGATCGGGAAAAAAAATCTGAAAATACAAATAGAATCTTTGACTATGAGGATATCAGAAAACAAGTAGATTTGAAAACCTCTGATCTGGAAGAATAAAATTTTGATACACTCGTAAGAGGAGAAGAGTTCGAAAATAATATGAAAATAGAGAAAAAAATTAAAAAACAGAAAAAAAGATAGAATCTCTGATCATGAAGAGATCATGAAATATCTATTTGTATCTCTTATGCATCACTATCTCTGCGAAAAAACATAAAAACAAGAAAAAAGAAAGTCCGATTTGACACAAAGAAAAAAAAGTCGTAAAAAGGCGATAAGAAAACAAAAAACCAGTAAAGAAGGGCGAAAAAAAAAGTCCGATTCATGCATTAAAAAAACTAAGAACCAAGAATCATGCTGCTCTTGGTGCCCTAATATCAGTGTAAAATAAAATAAATTATTTGCAATGTTAATTATTATACATCAGTAAAGAAAAATAGCAAAGATAGACAGGTACCCAGTCCGGGTTCACACTTTGCTCCGTTGTTGCAGCTTGCCTGCGGCCTGCGCCTATGTCGCCGCTTGCCCGCACCTGCTCTGTTGTCGCTTGCCTGCGCCTCTGCCGCTGTTAGACTGTATATGGCATGTATCTCTAATTAGCCATCTTTCCTAAAACCTCCCGATCATGCTTCCATAAATCGGTCGAGTGTTCTATGGAAGGTTAGCGCCTATATGTAATACTCTTCGTGTATCAACATGATTATCGCGTTGAGCCATATCCACTCTCATGGTATCAGACAGCCGATCACAAGCTTCCGCTCCCTAACCCATCGCCGACGACCTCACCGGCCACCACATCCTCTTCTCCGGCCGGCCTCATGTCGTCCGCCTCCTCCACCCCTCCCTCCCCCACCTCTGCCGCCCTGGACACAGCGGCTGATGCCGTCGCGAAGGCTGTCCGCGCCGCGTTCCAGGTGCTGCCTGGCATGGAGATCGACCCCACGATGGCGAACACCGTCGTCGACTCTGCTGCCACCCGGGCCTCCGACGCCGCTCGCAACGCCCTCTCCCCCGTGCTGAGCACCCTCCTGTCCGGCACTCCCGCGACGACCGGCGCTCCCGCGACTACTAGCGCCCCCGCCGGCGCAGGCATCGCCGCGACCTCCGTGGCCGCCACCCACGGCGTGGCGCCTGCGACCACGGCGCCTCTTCCCGGCACCATGCCGGCTGACCTCGCCGCCCTCTTCGCCTCTGCGCGCCTCGCGCATGGCGTCCACACGCCGGAGCCGACCGTCCCCGACTTCTCGCGCCCACCCGCCACTCCTCTCGACGACGCCGCCTTGGCAGCACTCCACGCTCAAGCCGTCAGCGTCCTCAACATCAAGGCACTCGTTCCCGTGACTCTCGACGTCGCTGCCACCAACTACACACGATGGCATGGCCTCTTCCTCGTGGCACTCGGCAAGTACGCCCTCACGGATCACGTCCTCTCCGACGCGTACCACTTCGACCGCGCCGATTGGGTGCAAATGGATTGTGTCGTCCTCGCTTGGCTCTTCGGCACCATCTCCTTCGACCTTCTCCAAGACGTCCTTGCGACTGACACTACAGCTCGTCTCGTTTGGCGCGGCCTCGAGTATCAATTCCTTGGCAACAGCGAGCAACGTGCCCTCAACCTCACGACGGAATTCCACACGTTCCGACAAGGCGACCTCTCCGTCGACGAGTACTGCCGCAAGATGAAGACCTTCGCTGACAGCCTCGGCGACGTCGGCGAGCCCGTCCGCGACCGCACCCTCGTCCTCAACACTTTGAGCGGTTTGTCCGAGAAGTTCAATAACCTCCGGTCTCTAGTTCCCATGCAGCGGCCATTCCCGACCTTCGCCGAGCTTCGCTCCATGCTTCGCCTGGAAGAACTCTCCAAGCCGAACCACGCCGCGTCTGCTTCTTCCGCCGTCTTCCTCGCCACGGGCAGCACGACCAACGGCGGCAAGGGCGCCAATCCAGCGCACGGCACCGGCTATGGTGCCGGCAACCAAGGCGGTGGCGGCAAGGGCAACAGCAACCGGCGTCGCCGCGGTGGCAACGGCGGCGGCGGTGGCGGTGGTGGTGGCGGCGGTAACAGCAACCAAGGAGGCGGCAGCACCGTTCCAGCACAGGCGCAAGGTGCCCAGTGGAGGGCTGGCTTCCAGTGGCCTTCCCCACATAATCCATGGGCCGGCACCATCCACATGTGGCCGGGCCCGTTGGGTCGTGGTGTGCTTGGCCCAAGGCCGGCACCCTCCCCCTTTGCTGGTGCTGCTTTGGCTGGGCCGAGCGGCGGCCCGCTGCCTGGCCAAGTCTACCCGGCGCCCGTCCCCTACCAGACAGCAGCTGGCCTGGGGCAGCAGGCCCAGCTCGGTGGCGTGGGCCAGTTCGGCCCATCACAGCCACCCACTCCAGTGGCTCTTCAACACCCTTTGGGCTGGTTTGGTGGTGCTCCTTCGCAGTGGGACCAAGCGTCCCTTGCCGGCTCCTTCAACACCACGACGCTACACCAACCCGCCACAAATGACTGGTATATGGACACTGGTGCCACTGCACACATGACCTCCGACACCGGTATCCTCTCCCTTTCACACCCACCTAATCCCAACTCCCCCTCTCATATTGTCGTTGGTAATGGCTCTACTATTCCTGTTACTTCCATTGGGCACTCTAAAATTTGTCACCCTAACCGTTCCTTTACACTTCGTGACATTCTTTGTTCCCCCGCTATTATTAAAAATCTTATCTCCGTTCGCCGATTTGTTATTGATAATTGGTGTTCTGTCGAGTTTGACCCCTTTGGCTTCTCTGTGAAGGATCTTCGCACCAGGACCGTGATCGCCAGGTTCAATAGCTCCGGTCCTCTCTACTCCCTACACCATGCACTGCCTCCTCCACCAGCAGCCACCGCCCTCCTCGCCAACTCCAGCACCGACCTTCTCTAGCATCGTCGTCTCGGCCACCTTGGTCACGACGCCCTCAACCGCCTCGCTGCCGTCGTCCCTATGACACGCGGCGACCTCACCGGAGTGTGTCACGCTTGCCAGCTTGGCCGCCATGTTCGCCTTCCCTTTGCTAGTTCTACTTCTCGGGCATCGACAAACTTTGAGTTATTGCATTGTGATTTATGGACATCTCCTGTCGTTAGTGCTTCCGGGTTTAAATACTATCTTGTCATTCTTGACGATTGCTCACATTATGTGTGGACTTTCCCTTTACGTTTTAAATCCGACACTTTCACCACCTTGTCCCACTTTTTTGCTTATGTTAAGACTCAGTTTGCCACTAACATCCGCAGCATTCAGTGCGACAACGGCCGTGAGTTTGACAACTCCGCCGCTCGCACCTTCTTTCTCACCAATGGTGTTCACCTTCGGATGTCTTGCCCCCACACCTCGCCTCAGAATGGTAAAGCCGAACGCATCCTTCGTTCCCTCAATAACATTGTTCGCTCCATGCTGTTTCAGGCCAAGCTCCCCGGATCCTTCTGGGTTGAAGCGCTTCACACCGCCACACACCTCATCAACCGACACCCCACCAAAACACTCGATCGCCACACCCCTCACTTTGCCCTATATGGTACCCATCCCTCATATTCGCACCTTCGTGTCTTCGGTTGCAAGTGTTATCCAAACCTCTCCGCCACCACACCGCACAAGCTTGCCCCCCGTTCCACCATGTGCGTTTTCCTAGGCTACCCCCTCTACCATAAAGGATATCGGTGTTTTGATCCCCTGTCCAACAGGGTTATTATTTCACGGCATGTTGTGTTTGATGAGCACTCGTTTCCATTTACTGAGCTCACTAATGGTGTCTCCAATGCTACTGATCTCGATTTTTTGAAGGATTTCACTGCTCCAGCACAGGCACCAATTGGAGCGACTCGTCGACCAGCTGTGGCGCCGACAACACAGACGGCCAGCTCGCCCATGGTGCATGGGCTTGAGCGGCCGCCACCCTGTTCTCCCACCAGGCCGGCCTCAACACCTGGTGGGCCGTCCTCCCCAGACAGCCGGCTCGGGCCGCCTTCCCCCACCCCTGCACTGATTGGGCCGGCGTCGACTTCACCTGGACCGCCTTCAGCTGGGCCGGCTCCATCAGCCTCCACCTGCCCGGCTCCTCCCGGCCTTCCTCGACTGGACGGCCCGCATCTCCCGCCAGCTCCACATGTCCCGCGCCGCCTTCGATCAGTTCGTGCTACCGGCGCACCAACTCCACTGTCCGGCCTGGGAATCTCACCGGTTGTCAACGACCACGTCATGACAACCCGCGCCAAGTCCGGTCACCACAAGCCTGTTCATCGGCTTAATCTTCATGCCGCCCCGCTGTCTCCGGTGCCCAAGACATACCGGGCGGCCCTTGCCGATCCGCTCTGGCGCGCCGCCATGGAAGAAGAGTACAATGCTCTCCTCGCCAACCGCACCTGGGATCTTGTTCCGCGTCCTGCCGGCGTGAACGTCGTCACCGGCAAGTGGATCTTCAAGCACAAGTTTCATGCTGACGGCTCCCTCGACCGGTACAAGGCTCGTTGGGTTCTTCGCGGCTTCACCCAACGCCCCGGCGTCGACTTCGATGAGACTTTCAGCCCGGTCGTCAAGCCGGCCACTGTCCGCACTGTCCTCAGCCTCGCCGTTTCTCGCGACTGGCCGGTGCACCAACTCGACGTCAAGAACGCCTTCCTCCACGGCACGCTTCAGGAGACTGTCTACTGCACCCAGCCGCCCGGCTTCGTCGACTCCGCCAAGCCCGACATGGTGTGCTGCCTCAACAAGTCCCTCTACGGCCTCAAGCAGGCCCCGCGCGCATGGTACAGCCGCTTCGCCACCTTTCTACAGTCCATCGGGTTTGTTGAGGCCAAGTCCGACACGTCCTTGTTCATCCTTCACCGAGGGAACGACACCGTCTACCTTCTGCTCTACGTCGACGACATCGTGCTGACGGCTTCCTCACGCACGCTCCTTCATTGGACCATCTCCGCCCTTCAGGGCGAGTTTTCCATGAAGGACCTCGGCGCCCTCCACCACTTCCTCGGCGTCAGCGTCACCAGGAATTTAGCTGGCCTCGTGCTCAGCCAGCGGCAGTACTGCATTGACATCCTCGAGCGTGCAGGCATGGCAGATTGCAAGCCCTGTAACACTCCTGTCGACACCACTGCCAAGCTTTCCTCCTCCGACGGCCCTCCTGTAGCGGATCCCACAGACTTCAGGAGCCTCGCCGGTGCGCTACAGTACCTCACCTTCACCCGGCCCGACATCTCCTATGCTGTACAGCAAGTCTGCCTTCACATGCATGACCCTCGCGAGCCTCACCTGGCAGCCCTCAAGCGGATCCTCCGCTACATCCGTGGCTCTGTGGACCTGGGACTCCACATTCAGCGGTCCTCCGCCTGCGACCTCGCCGTCTACTCCGACGCCGACTGGGCCGGCTGCCCTGACACTCGTCGCTCCACATCTGGCTACGCCGTCTTCCTTGGAGACAACTTGGTGTCATGGTCCTCCAAGCGCTAGCACACGGTCTCCCGCTCCAGTGCAGAGGCCGAGTACCGCGCCGTTGCCAATGCAGTCGCCGAGGTCACATGGCTGCGCCAGCTACTCCAGGAGCTACATTCTCCGCCGTCGCGGGCTACACTGGTCTACTGCGACAATGTCAGTGCCGTCTACCTCTCCTCCAACCCGGTGCAGCATCAGCGTACCAAGCATGTTGAGATCGACCTTCACTTCGTTCGGGAACGTGTCGCGGTCGGCGCCGTCCGTGTTCTTCATGTTCCCACAACATCGCAGTACGCCGACATCTTCACCAAGGGGCTTCCTACACCGGTCTTCACCGAGTTTCGCTCCAGTCTCAACGTCTGCTAGCGCCGTTGCGACTGCGGGGGGGTGTTAGACTGTATATGGCATGTATCTCTAATTAGCCCTCTTTCCTAAAACCTCCCGATCATGCTTCCATAAATCGGTCGAGTGTTCTATGGAAGGTTGGCGCCTATATGTAATACTCTTCGTGTATCAACATGATTATCGCGTTGAGCCATATCCACTCTCAGCCGCCTCTCGCACCCCTTGCCCGCACCATCGTCATCCCTGGATCGAGCAGTCGCCGCCCAAATGACGAGCAGCAACCGCCCTAGGGCCCGTCGCCGCCGGGCGCAACCCTTTCTTGCACCACCGCCGTCCCTGGACCGAGCAGCCGCCCTGGGGGACGCCACGCGCGCGCCCCTTGCCCGCAGCCTAGCCGTGCCCGAGCGCCGCTCTATGCCCCTGACTGCCTGCGCTGTCCCTTGCCTGCGCCGCCCTGAGCGTGGGCGGTAGGGGGAAATTTAACTATTTGCCACTCCTGCAACGTGGTAATTAATAATTTGTCACTCACTGTCCATGACATATGGGTCTAGTGACAAATCATTAAACACCACTCATAAGAGTGGCAAATAGTTAAAAGCCTCGGCGGTAGAAGGTGCTGGGGAACTGGGAATGAGAAATTGGCGATTTTACCATCGCAAAACAATATGTTTCGCTAGAATGCCATCGCTTCAAAGTGATTCACTGCAATACCATTCTAAATTAAGTGGTGTTCACCAACATTTTTTTTTGTTAATAGAAATATTTTTGCTCTATTTTACTCTTTTCTCGGACCAAAATACCCATGCCACTATCTTTTCCTTTTCTCCCATGCCCAGCATATTGCAACCATCCCAAATCTCGCATATAGGTACAACCTATAGGCATAAAATTAGATCGCATATAGACGAATCATGTTAATTAAATTTGAACAGTACATAGACATAAAATTGGATAGCATATACATTTTTTTAAAATTCAATTACATATCTATGCTATCCAATTTTAAGTCTACGTGCTGTTCAAATTTAATTAATATGATGCTCGCCTACATGCGATCCAATTTTATGCCTAGATTTAATTAATATGATGTTAAAATGGCTATCTATGTCGGTGGGACAAAATATGCGAGATTATTGTGCCTATATGTGAGATTTGGGACGGTTGCAATATCCTAGTCATGGGAGAAAGGAGAAGATATAGGTAGGGGTATTTTGGTGAGAAAAGTGTAAAATAGAGTAAAAATATTTCTATTAACAAAAAGAATAAAAATGGTATTTTGGTGAACACCACTTAATTTAAGATGATATTGTAGTGAATCACTTTAAAGCAATGGTATTCCAACGAAACTATTATTTTGTGGTGGTAAAATCGCCAATTTCTCACTGGGAATGTACGGGTCATGGGTGGATGGATTAGGTTAGGTTTTGGTTAAATAGTATATATACTTCTTGAGGGCATATCAGGTGCAAACAGGGTAAATGTTGGAAATATGCAAACCAACCGTTAGATCCTATTCCAAGGGATGAGATCATAATGTACCCCTTCCAACTGTACATTTTACGTTTACCACCCCACTTAACATATGTTTTACTGAAAATATCAGGACCATGTTATCCCGCTCTCAATTCCAAAATCCCCACCTCAATTCTCAGCTCCTCTCCATCTAAAAGAAAAGGTCTCACCCTCAGCTAGTCCCCTACCCCCTCCTTCCGATTCGAACTGATGAGAAATCCCCACGATTATGTGCTTCCCTGACTCCCTCGAGCTTCCTCCTCGCATCCAATCTTCCTCCTCCATTCCTGCTCCAGAGGTATGGACAAAAGCTCAACAAGTGTTCATCTAGGGTTAGGGTTTGGGGTGGCGGTGGCAGATGGGGCTGGTCTTCAGTCATAATCGAGGTGTGCTCCCATTTGTTCTTGACCTGATTTGTTCCTTATGCATTTGATTTGTTGTGTTCCTCTGCACAAGCTTGCCCACTTGCATTGGGTGCAGTAGTGTTCTTTTGTTGCAACCCATGATTGGGGAAGATGGAGAAGATGGAGAAACTCACCCAGGGACACTTTGGTGACGAGGGGGAATCCCTGGCCAATAAACTCACCTCAAGCCGGTAG